TTTTTGTTTTTTTCTTCATTTTTATATATTTATTTATATATATTTATATTTTGTATTTATAAGTGTTGACTCAGATAGTTCCATTTGTGAATATTTGCAAGAGCATTTTACTAACAAAGACAACTTGAACGGCATGTGAAGCAAATTAAGACATTTGATTTCATATTAAATTTCCTTCTCTTCATAGACTTTTTATCGACTTTACATTTATTGATTTGACGCGGCGAACGACATTTGTTCGTCTGTATACAATATATAAACTGTCTATAAACCAGATTCATTTTTTCTTCTTTCTCAAACAGTTGCATGACAATAGTCTTCTCACCTAAACTCATCTCAGCCTCTAAACTATCATCACACAGCCACGAGCTGAATCATTATTCTGCTGAATTGTTAATGTTGTAGTATTTTGTTGTTTTGTATAATATTGTTGTGTATTGTTTGTTTGTTTGTTTGTTTAGATTTGTGTCGATGCTGATGCTGATTTTGATGTTGCTTTTATTATTACATTACTGCTCTGCTGCTTTCGACTTCAAAGATTTCTTTTTATATTTCTTTTGTTTTGTTTGTTTTTGTTTGTATTACTGAATAATATTTGCATAGTCAAAAAGGAAACATTTTAGTTGTTTGGTTAGTTGTCACCGCCCTCCTGTGGCTCGTCGCCATCACCCTGGGTATCGGAGGTCCAAAGGGTCAGGTTATCCCTCAACAATTGCATGATGAGTGTTGAGTCTTTGTATGAGTCCTCGTTGAGTGTGTCCAGCTCGGCTATCGCGTCATCGAACGCCTATATTGTGGGGCAATAAGAATATATATATTTAGTATTCGATCAAATGTAATTACAACAATAACAATGCAAAATGCCGGCAAGGTAAATATGCAAGTACAAGTTCTTGTTCAGGTGCAAAACCAAAGCATTTCAGTTCCATAAAAAAATGTTTTAGTATTTACAATTATACCTTTAAATGTTTTTGTTTCATTCAGCAACTAAGCAAAATAATCAAAAATCATAAATTCATCTAGCAAAAATAAGAACTATTAAACTATTATACGATATTGAACTCTGTGACCTAACGGTTAATGCACTTTCTCTAAGAATCATTAATAATTTCACCAGCAAGATACGGACTGCATTATAAAGGGTTAAAAGCCATACATGTAACGGGGTACATAAGCCAGGCTCTCATCAATGAATTAATTAAGCCAATTTATAATTTACGTAACATGCGATGACCGTAGGCGTATGCTTATATCGTACGTGCCACGGACTTGTGTGGGTGTATGTGTGTGTCTGTCTGTATCTGTATTTGCATTAGTTAGTTTGTTAGCCACTTAACAACAATATTTAAATAATTAATATGAAACAAAGAAAACGAGATTTGTGTAGAAAGAGATTGAACCTGTTTAGCTAAATGACAAGCCCTCGCTGGTGAATTAATAATTTCGTAATAGAAGACGGAAAAGTTGAGTGCAAGACCTAATCTGATTGGATGTGTTGGCTGCATTTTAGTTTTTGCAATATCGAATGCCTCTTGATAAGCTTTTTTCGAGTCCTCAACGACGTCTTAAATTATGTACGTTAATATGGGGTACCAAAATAAATGAAACAAAAAGAAAAAAAGAACCAAAGTTCACAATTAGTTTTCAATATGATATAGATACTGAATAATGAACAATCAACTTAAATGTAGAACTAAAAATTAAAGTCTTTTTTATGATTTGAAATGGTTTTCGTTGCACTTGTTGCTTGTTGCTCGCTTGCCAGACATTTGCTTGTTTACTGTTTTTTTTTTCAAATTTATTTTTTTATTAACCTGTTTAGCCAATTGGCAAGCCTTATCTGGAGAATTCAAAATCTCATAATAGAAGACTGAGAAGTTAAGTGCAAGACCCAAGCGGATGGGATGTGTTGGCTGCATTTTGCCCTTGCTAATGTCAAATGCATCCTGGTAAGCGGTTTGGGAATCGTCAACAACGGCTGCATCATCACACAAAGAGATAGAGTTTACATTTACGTTGTTGTTTTATTTGTTTGTTTTATAATTTAAATAGGTATATATACTTAAAGAGCTTATAGCTTATGGAATTTAGATACTTACTGTTGCGTGCGTCTCCTGTAGCGACCTCAGCTAAATACCTGTAATAATCTCCCTTCATCTTCAAATAGAAAACCTTGCTCTCTGGATTGCTGGCTTTTGGAATAAGGTATTTGTCCAGAAGTCCCTGTTGATTAAACACAGAACAAGATGTCAAAATGTAAATAAGAGATCAACAGAGACTTGTGTTTATAAATAAACATTCCTAATTGCTTCGCGCGCACAATAAGCCGCTATTAAACCAATATTATGCGAGCAAAAGCTGCTTGGCTAATATACTATTACGCTGCCCAACTTGAAATAGCTACACGCGTATATATATATGTGTATGTGTCTGCTGTAGATGTATAGATGTATATATATGCCAATTTTACAGCCGACTGAGGCACTTCAAAGTATTATCGATTTTCTGTCACCAAAGAAAGAAAAGCTAACAGCCAGTCGCCTCAGTCGCCCAGCCCCGCAGTCCCAACCCCCAGCGATAGCTGTTTTTCTATATATACGTATAATATGTATACATTGGCTACATATGTAGGTTGTACCTTTTAATTTATTTTTAAGCCCAGTGGGTCTGCTGACTAAAGGTAGTTTACTTAATAGGTCAACAGTGTGTCAAATGAGCACTGCTTTAAAATATATGACTGGCTGGCTGTGCTGCTCAATAGAAAACTCTAATTAAATTGACATTAATCAAGACAAGTTGGGCCATTGTTGGTTACTGTTGCTATCTAATCTGTATGTTTATTTATATATATACATTGCACGACTGTGTGTGTGTGTGTAAGAGAGTGTGTTGCTGTGTGCAGCAGCAACATGTCTGGAAAATTTCTTTTTAAAAATAGATTTATTGATTGTAATACAATTTGCTGCACACCAACACCCACACACACATACGTAGATGCCTGTACTGTGGGCCCTCCGTTAAGGCGATTGTAATTTCAAACTAACGCAGCAATTGGTTTATATAGATGCATGCTAGAGTTATATTTTTACATAAAAGAAAATAAAATAAAACTCGGATGCCCAGCCACATTGAGATACAGCTACCACCGCCCCACTCGCATTTGGGAGCAGGACTTGCGCAGTGAACAAGGAGAACTCATCATAATTTGCTTACTCTATGGTGGATTTTGGGAGGGGGCGGATTGCGGGACCCTAACAATATTCATGGTCATGGGCAGATGATGGGAGAGCACAGTGGAATGGAGTAGAGTTGAGCAGCTGTACATACCAGAACTTCATAGCAAATTTCTCTAAGCTCCTTCTCCACACGCTCTCTGTACTCGCGGGCGAGCTGTTGTTTTCTGGCGGATGCTTCGGTTTTTTGCTCAATGGAGGAAATAACACGCCACGATGACCTGTTGTTGTATAAATGTATGCACAGAAGAAGAAATATACATAAGTATATGTAGAAACTCTATATTTCCCATTTGCAATTTACCTGCGCGCTCCAACCACATTTTTGTAGGCAACGGAGAGCAGATTTCTTTCCTCATTTGACAGCTCGACGCCCGTCTCTGTGACTGATTTCATGGCCTGGGCCATGTCATCGTAGCTACATATAAAAGTAAATCAAATTAATTATGTATTCCTTTGATCTGTGCGAATAAATGTATACACTTACCGTTCTGATTGCTCGGCCAATTTTGCCTTTTGGACCAGTTCTTCCTTATCGACTGTCGACATGTTTGTGGTTTTTTGTTTTAGTTACTTGACCAAACTAAGAATATGAATAATTTGTATAATTGTGTTCGTGTGTGTGTATTGGCCCACGCACGATCTCTGTTGCAATTGATAGACAGCAGAAAAATTAATTAAAGTAGGAGGAATCCACAGCTCAAAGCGTCGCTCACAGTGTGTGAATGGTTATCTGCAATAGAAAGAAGGAACGAAATAAAGATATAAATATATATATTTAATGATTGTCACTGTAATGCAATTGAATTTCCCACGCGGCACATTCACTTTATTAATTGGCAACCTGTTCAAACAGCCAACAAACAATAGCGTCTGTGCTGTATGTATGTATGTATGTATGTGTATAAGTACACTTTCTTATATTGTGAGGCACCACCCACGTCTAATTGAAAGCTACGATTAATTCATTTATTTCCCTCGCCAACTTTCGACACGAATATCCTTTAACTAACACCCACACTCACACACACGTACACACCCACACATACAGCTGCAAACCCGAATAATTATCTGCCGCTGTCGCTGTGTGTTGCTCTTTCGACCAGGCCCGAAACTCGACTAAAACGAGAACTTGCCGCTGTCTCTGGCTAAAAACGTTGAGCTGAGGTGCGAAGGAGCAAGGATTGCCGCCGGTGGCAGAGCTCGTCGCATGCGAATAGCAGCTGCGCGTTGCAAACTTCTGCTGATATTGAGATATGCTGGCGGTGTCAATGGGCGGGCAACAGGATATTAAAGGATATTATATTGCGCTCATCAATATATGTATATATACATGAGACATTCAAAACTGGTTTCGCAACATGCACATATATACGTTTATGTATTTGTAGTTGTAGAATTCAATTTGCAATTAGCAGCAAAGAGTCGAGTTTTAGCATCTTTGCTTCACATGCTGCAATTAGCATTAATACCGAACTGAATCATCGAGACGCTCGCCATATCAGTATCTCATTTCATTTCATTTCATCGACTTTGAATATAAAGTGTTGAGAAAATAAAGTACAGGGTCGAGCAGTTACTTAAACTCGCAATGATGATAACTAATAATAAAATAAAACAAAAGGTTTGCCTCGTCTTAATGTCAATAAATTGCGTTTTATGTTAAGCAACTGTGAGTCAGTCACGTCACATGCTAACACTTAACTTCTATCATGTATATATGTATGTATGTGTATGCACATGCTCGCTACAAAACATATTATGATGCAAACGGGGGTTAACCTGTTGCCTTTTAGCCAACGGCTGAGTGCTTCCCTCGACAACATGACTGAATTTGCAGGTATTACATAAATATTGATTGATTATTATTTATAAATAAACGCAAGGTGAGGCTGATTGATACATTTTCCATTATCCTTGGGGACAAACATAGAAACATAATAATAACGACAAAATTATTATCCCCCAAGGCAGCCTTGTTAGTCCGCTGCACATAAGGACCCATAGCCCATCATAATGTGCTTTTGACAGGCAACAGAAAAGGTGGGTGAGTGTGCGTGTGGTATTTGAGTTTTGCTAGCGTGTGGGCGTGCTCCAAATTATGTTTGCACATTGTTAATACAAATTTGTGCTTGTGATTTACTCTGCTGTTTGCCAATGCTATAAGACATGACATTCGACTTCTTTGGGGCGCCCCAACTGCCAGATGCACATTGGATAMGTAAAAAATTGAGATGGGAATGGGAATGGGAATGGAAATGTTAAAAAAGCAACAGCAGCAACAACCGACACGACAAGCGAATGGAATGAACGAAACAAAAAACAACAAGCAATGAAAAAATAAACCAACATACATGCACAGAGAGAAAAGTTATAAATAAACTATGAATAAAATTGAAAATGAAATAAAAGAGAGAAATCTGTGGCTTGATGGGTGTGTGAGTCTGTATGTGTGTGTGTGCGAGTGTGTATATCTGTGTCTTTGTGGTACGTGAGTAAGCATATGTATAAATATGTACTAACGTATTACTTGTGTGTATTCAGATGTTAAAATGAATGCACAATAACCCCAAATGCAGAAATAAGAAAATGGTAACAATACTTAAGCGAAAATGGTAAAAATGTTGAGTAAAGGTGATCATAAATAATCTATGTATGTACGTATGTATGCTAAATATATATGCATAGTCACAATGACCCAACCACCCACTTGTTATCTGAATTTCTAAACGATCGCATCCGACCGTCAAATTGTAAAAACATTGAACCTTAGTCTGCACACAAGTACAGATAAGTTCTCATACACACTCACACACACACACACACAGATTATAGATGCTTGTAAGAATAGCAACTTTTGTGCGTTGCTCGTTTTTAGGTCAATTGCCAGGTTTTCGTAGTTATTGACAAAAAAAAAATAAATAAATAAATAAAAGAGATGAAAACACTAACGAAACAGAGCGAAACGGCGGAGTATACTCAATAGTATAATTTTCATTTCTAAATTCCAACAAATTTTATTTGTGTATGCATGTATATCCATGTGTACGCATAGATATATGGGTGCGCATTTATAGCTACAATCCAATCAGCCACTCCCTCCCGTTTCAATGGTGGAGCCAACAAAATCAGCTCTTAGCAATGAAGCGAATTGTATGCGTCATGGACTGCGTCATTTTTTGGGCATGCCTCACAATGAGGAAGTAGTGCGACTGCAAGAGTCACAGCCACAAACTATTTTTCTTTATATAGAAGTATGCGTGTGCACACATGCATTCTTTCGCTTTTATGTGCAATTGTGTATGTTATAAAATAGAAGAAGAACCAGCTAATAGCGAAATGTCAGTGCGACAACGACGACGGCATCGGCTTCGGTCACTGGTACAGATGGAAGATAACGGCGAATAAATTTGAAACCGTTTGTTAAGTTCTGCGATGACGGCAACTTTGACTGTTGCAAACGGCGCTATCCCATGCGAATACAGACGTGTGTGTGTGTGTGTTGTCGGTGCGAGCGTGTGAGTGCGCGAGAGTATTGAAAATACACCACACCGGGCGGCAAACTGTAAATTCACCACACCGGCCCCATGAGGTCGCGACGACAGAGATTCGGCTACACGGCGTTACGGCTACATGCGCAGTACAGAGGGAAAAAATACGACTGTAGAGAAATGCAGATAAGCAGAAAATTCCAATACACAGGGTTTTGAAAACTAGACACAAGTAATGGAAGCTTTCAATAGTTTCATTCACTTTTCTTCGATTTGATGTTCGATTGAACCGCTTAAAAAGAAACAAATCAAATTACATACATACTTGTATGTATGTACATCTTATCCAATGAAATTACGCATACATACGTCTATGAACGTACATCAGCTAACAAGAAACAAGTGTGTGTGCCTCACAGTGAGGGGGAGGGTTGTGAAGAGCACGCAACAAAAAGTATAAAAATAATCCCACCGGAGAGCGAGAGAGCAACATAAAGAGAACACACACTTCCAAACGGCCAAAGGCAGCAGCGATAGCGAGAGCAGTACGGTATAAAAGAACACGTAACCGCGTGTGTCGTCCACTTACATACACACATATAT